GGCTGCGGTGGTCACCTCGACCCGCTTCACGGATGAATACCAGCTCTACGAGGAACTCGGGAAGTAAGCCACCCCTTCCTTCTCCGCTTCCTTCCTGGCTCTCTCCCTCGCTCTGCTCAGTGCTCCATCTTGTTCATCGCGCGCGCGTCTTGTTGAGTGCTGCCTGCTTTTTAATCCCCAATCGCGGCGTTTAAAGGTGCATTGCGCCACGTTTGGTTTTTCGAACAGACTCCAAACTTGGTTGTGAAGCCCCCCTGCACCTCCCCACCCCGCTTCCAGGACCTCCACCTCCCACGGGGGTGCACAACCTGCATGGTGGCATCCTCTCTTCCACACACACACACACACACACACACACACACACACACACCATGCTGTTGTTGTGTAGTTGTACATTTTGCATGCAGGACTGCACGTTTGAGCATTGCACGACCCTGCTGCTGCACTCGGTCGTGTGTGTGTGTGTGTGTGTGTGTGTGTGTGTGCGTGTGTGTGTGTGTGTGTGTGTGATGACACAAACAGGGCTGCAAAGCCGCTGTCTTAATCTCTCCGCACCTCCATTAGCAGCAGCAGCGTGCATTTAAATGCAAGCAGGCCAAGTAAGCAGCTACTTGTTGTACAGCATTGGTGGACGATTTTCTCCTGTTGCCAGCCAGTGTGCTAATGCAGGCAGCGAATGAAACCAACAAGTCGTTCGGTGAAGCCTAGTTCAATTCCACTATTCTTTAAATTGAATGACTTCAAATGAATCTGTCTGTAGAATCAATTTTCTGTTCACTGGTCAAACACTCTTCCATGGTCACAACCAAGAGACTCTGTAAGCTATTGAAATAACATTAATAATAATAATAATAATAATAATAGTAATAGTTTGCGCAGAGGATAAAGAATATATGCCTGTGAATATTATAGTATCCTCTGCCGGCATGCGTTTCTACCTCTTGTGTCCAAATATAGTTCATTTAAATGTTAAGAACCACTTAAAAAAATGACGCTAAAAAAAACATCTTCCAGTGCCACATAACCTCCAATTCTTGTTCTATACTTCCACATATTTCCTCTTTGCCATTCACAGGCACGCTTATGTGGTGCAATTGTAGCAAAAAGCCAAAGAAAAAGCGAATCCAACCTGCCACGAGAGTCTGTTTTGGGTGTGAGCGATCCCCTTGTGTTTGTGTTAATCATGCTGTGCTTGTGATTTGACACTTCCGTTGTTGATTTGCCGCCTCCAGGGGCGCCTTCTCGGTGGTGAGGCGCTGCGTGAAGAAGTCCACGGGCCAGGAGTACGCCGCCAAAATCATCAACACCAAAAAGCTGTCGGCCCGAGGTGAGTCGTTCATTGCTTTTCTTCCAGCGGAAGTCCCTGGAAAGCAGCCGATGGCTCTTACGCTCGGCTCGCTTTCCTCAAGAGCTACGAGGCACTTGGCTGAGACACCAAGGCCGGATTGACACGGCAGGCCCAATGCGTCCTCATTTGCATTAGCGGCAGCTTGACATTTGATCCCAAACTACTTCTTTCAGGTCGGGAATGGCGCCGCTTGTTTTGGTTGCTCGTTACTGTGTTTAAACCAGGCTTGGAATTAAGATTTCAAAAACACTCGCTAGAAGACGAGAAGTATAACAGGCATGCTGGGCCAGTAGTTGGCGATGTTGGTTCCCATTTGTGCATTTTTTAAATTTGAAATAATGCCCTGTTTTTTTTTAAATAAATGAATGGGAACGTGATTAAAAAAAAATCTGATTCATTGAAAAATCGCCAAAATTATTGAAAGATTAATCACTCATTATTATAATCATGAGTTGCATCCTTACTGCGTGTGTGTGTGTGTGTGTGATTTTTCAATTTGAAATAATGCCCTGTTTTTTTTTTTAAATAAATGAATGGGAACATGATTAAAAAAAATCAGATTCATTGAAAAATCGACAAAATTATTGCAAGATTAATCACTCATTATTATAATCATGAGTTGCATCCTGTCACGCTCTCTCGCTCTCTCTATACACACACTCAGACACACACACACACACACACGCAAACAGGTTGTCTCTCCCCGGTGTGTCTGCACAGTTTTTATTACTTCCGCCAAGACCTGCAATAAATCACCAAAATAAAAATGCTTCTGTTAGCGCTCGCTAACGTACTTACTCGTGAAGTCTGATTACTGCCACCATTAAGTCTCAAGTGTGCATGTGCCACCTTATAAAGGCGCGCGCGCGCACAAACACACAGGCTCCAGCACCCCCCGCGACCCTTGTGAGGATAAAGGTTTTCTTATCTTATCTTATCTTATCTTATAAAGCCGATCGGAAAATGGATGGATGGAAATTGATATTGTATTGTGCGTGCTCATATCAACCTCATATAACCACGTAATCAATCAGACAATGCCAAGAAATTGCAAAAGTTTAGCATCATAGCAATAAGCATAAGTGGCAAAGTCAGGCAAGCGTTCCTTTGTGTTGAAAGTGACTGTCTCTGTCTATCCTCACCTCTCTTATACATCATGGTGGACCCTTTCGTGCCTGTATGGGAAACCAGATTGGGGCTTGGTGCAAGAAGCGAATGCAGCAGGTTTTATCTTGACACTTCGCTCTGTTCCTTTTACACAGGCCAGCAGGAAGGAACGATAGAGAGAAAAAAAAGTGAGAAAAGATTGGAGAGAGGAAAAGAGATGGCATGAGGTAAAAGAGAGAAAGACAAGGGACCAAAAGACCAAAAGAACGCGGTGAAATGAAAGCACAATATGGTGAGACAGGGGGAAAAAAAGAACGTCGGAAAGGGAAGAGTGAGCGAACGGTGATTAAAGAGAGAATGGAGAGCAAAAAGAGTGATGGAAGAGAGAAAAGAAAGTGAGCGGAGAGCGAAAGGAGTGAGAAATGAGAGTGCAAAAGGAAGGAGTGAAAGAAAAAAAGAGACAGCAAAAAACAGCCAGGAGAGAGAGCGAGCGAGACAGACATTCGAGAGTCAGACAAAAGAAAAAGAGAGAATGAAAAGAAAGAGTGAAAAGAGAGACCAGGAGCGTGTGAGATAAGAGTGACAGAAAGAAAACAGGCAGGGGGAGACAGAAAGAGGAAATGAGAGAGGGAAAAAAAAAAGATAAGGATGAGAAAGCAAAGGGAGCGAGCAAAACAGAGAATAGACGGTAAAAACAGAAAGGAAAAAGAAAGGCGGTGAAGAGGAAGGAAAGAGAATAGTCAGACAAAAGAGTAATAAGAGTGTGAGTGATGGAAGAGTTGCAGACCCAACAGGCAGAGCGAAAATACAAAGAGAAAAGACGAATAAAAAAAAGTGAGGGTGGGTAGCGCAAGTCAAGAGAGGGAGAGAAAAACGGGAAGAAAAAGCAAAGACGGTTCGGGGAGCGAGTGTGGGAGGAGAGAGAGAATCGGGAAAAGGAAATAAAATACAGTGGGATCTCTGCTTACGAACGTCTCTTCATACAAAATGTTCAAGTTACGAAACGCCTCAACACGAAAATATTGCCTTTTGTTACGAAATCAATTTCAAGATACGAAAGGGAAAAAAAATACAGTCTGGGCTGCTACTCGCAGCTCCGAGTTTCCTGAACGCAACATACTTATAGCTGCTCTGCCATTGGCTATTCCCGAGCATCTTCCTGGCCTCCCATTGGCTAAGAGGGACTTCTTACCGAATGTGTCTATGTGTGTAGATAGATAAATAGATCGATGTGTGTCTATGCAGCGTCGTCGTCATTCGCACTCGGGACATGAGGCGCTTCGATAGTTTTACGTAAATGTGAATCGCCCAAAAAAAGTGCTCACCAGTCGGGCAATCGCTCACTACGCTGATGTTTGCCTCGGACATTTTCGAAGGATTGTTAAAAGCCGACAAAAGCAAACATCCTTGGATCAGTTCTTGACAAACCGCCAGGCAAAAACCACTTCTGAGAGAGAACATGAACTCAAGAGGGCAAAAAACGATGAGGAGGCGGTTAAAAGTTAAATGACCATCATTTTAATTCTGTATTCTTGATTTTTTACATTATGCACAACTCTCATTTTTGTAATATGGATTTGTTACATGTTTTAATGCATTTTTATGGTTTAGAAAACATGTCCGAATATTTTTTTGGGGGCGTGGGTGTTGGGGGTTGGAACGGATTAGGGCATTTACATGGAAAACACGTCTCTACTTACAACATTTTCTTGTGAAGAGATTGCCCCCTGGTGCTGAAGCCGCTGTTAAATGCTGATAACCGACGCTGTACAACCCAGCGTCATGGAGTTTTTTTTTCTTTTTAGCGTCCTTAATGGCCGATTGAATGTTATTTTATGGCGTCGTCGTGTTGTTGGAAGTCGTTAGCAACAGTTTGTGACGGCAAATGGCGTCAAACAAATCATTTGATGTCCATATATATTATTATTATTATTATTATTATTATTATTACCACATGTCACTGTCATACATGTCAAAAATCTTTGAGCAATATTACAATAAAATATGGATTGAAATAACTAAAATAAAGTAAAGATACATGGAAAACACGTCTCTACTTACAACATTTTCTTGTGAAGAGATTTCTTCCAGAACCAATTAATTTCAGAAGTAGAGGTACTACTGTGCAGTGAGAAAAAGGAGGTGAAAATTGAGAAAGAAGAGGGGAGAAACACGGAATCAGAAAACAAAGAAATTTGAGGAAAAAAGGCAGGATAAAAGAATAAGAGCAATTTCAAGTCTGGTTGAGGAACAACATTTCAATCGATTTCAGAGCTGTTTCGACGAGAGCGTATCATTTTTGTTTCACACCATCAGTCATAATCGTCGTCCCGTCTGTTCCGTCCTCCGCGAACCAGGAAGTAGCCTAACAGATAAGCAAACAAACCCAAATAGAAAACTCTTAAGAATTGTTTCCACTTGAATGAAAAGTTGCACCATTCCACCGATTGTTGGCTTGTCGCGCCCCCGCAGCCGACAAGCCAACAATCCTTGATGCCAAGCGACACGAGGAAATAAAACTTGTGAAAATGGAAGGAGGAAGCCAAGCTCACTTCCTTTTGATGTAACGCTATCGTTTCAATCTGACCACGATTTATATTCGAGTCATTTTCTTCTCCTTCCCGCCATCGGTGACTGTGAGAAATTTGACTTCTTTAAAAAGTGTTTGACTGAAAACAGTCGAGCGAGAACGGAAACTAAAAGAGTCCACGTTAAAGCACTCGGTGCTCGACCGTTTCCTCTCGTTGCGGCTATCGAATATTTTGGTCGTCAGGTAGCCTATAAAAAATTCTCTCAAATAATTGGGAAAGCCTAGTTCGTTAAAAAGTGAACAGTTGGAACGGCAATTGTGTCAAGCTGTCCATACCAACGTTTGCGGAGTCATTTACGTCTACTGCCTTTGAAAAATAATCCGACGGCCCTTGCCAATCCCTGCTAGCGCTAGTTAGCGCTAGCTAGTGCTGCTAGTGCCTCCTAGTGCTGAAGCCGCTGTTAAATGCTGATAACCGACGCTGTACAACCCAGCGTCATGGAGTTTTTTTTTCTTTTTAGCGTCCTTAATGGCCGATTGAATGTTATTTTATGGCGTCGTCGTGTTGTTGGAAGTCGTTAGCAACAGTTTGTGACGGCAAATGGCGTCAAACAAATCATTTGATGTCCATATATATTATTATTATTATTATGATTACCACATGTCACTGTCATACATATCAAAAATCTTTGAGCAATATTACAATAAAATATGTATTGAAACAACTAAAATAAAGTAAAGGTAGGAAGGCTAGCTACAGCTTTATTTCGGAGAGTTTGTTTAGATCAGCGTCAATTTCAAGTCTGGTTGAGGAACAACATTTCAATCCATTTCAGAGCTGTTTCGACAAGAGCGTATCATTTTTGTTTCACTCCATCAGTCATAATCGTCGTTCCGTCTGTTCCGTCCTCCGCGAACCAGGAAGTAGAACAACAGATGAGCAAACAAACCCAAATAGAAAACTCTTAAGAATT